CTTTCTTTTAAGTATTTTATGTTGACCTTTGTTGGCATGAACTTTGCATATCATAATTTGATGTGCTGTTCTAGTTGTGGCTGAAAGTTGTCAACAGTTGATGATTAATGAAATGTTCTTTTTCTAGTTTGAGTGGTTCTGGTTGTATCTTATCTATCTTGCTTAATTTGCCAGGAGTTGCTTCAATTAGAAGAAGATGTCAACCTTCTTGAGGAGATGTATCCACAAGGGGAAAAGGTAGTTACTTGACATCTAGTCATAAACAATATGCTGCAATGTTTCTCCCATTTACTGATCCTCTATGAATGCAGGCTGAGACAACATGGGCACTAACAGTTCTAGGGTATCTGGCAAAACTTGTTTTGGGAATTTTAGGGTAAGCAATGACATATAACAATCTGAGTTGCTTGGAATGCTAGGTGCTGTATAACCCCTTATACATAGTTTTACAAATTTTCTTTTATCGAATGGGTTGTTTATTCCCCCTTCCTTGCATCATGGAACAAATTTATTTTGTCATACCGATGGACTGATTTCTCACACTGAACTGTACATGTGATAATTTTCCAAAGGTTCTCTCACTCGATGCATCTCATAGATAGATAGATTTAATGGTTTCTTTCCATTATTTTAAATTGATAAAATAAATTAAAAATTAATGGATGAAATTACTGATAACTAACATACCCCAGTGCCAGAACCCTCCTTGCATTGCGAAGGTATGGGCGAGGGTCATTGTACGCAGCCCCACAGCCCTCACCTTGCATATGCAAAGAGTCTTTCCAGATTTGAACCCGTTACCAACTGGTCACAAAGGCCAACTTTGTCGTTGCACTGAGGCTCACCCTCAAATTCGAAATTACTGATAAGGAGTTTAAATAAAATTTTAGGTGTGGTAATAAAAAAATTAATTTAACTAGGAGAAAATAATGGTGTTGTAGAGAAATTAGAAAAAAATTAGTTAAATTGGAGTTGTAATAGACATTTAAGAGTGGCAATAGACATCCCTGTAATAGGGAGTGAATACAGCCATGTAACTATTGCTGGGACATCACTCGCTATCTCACTGTTACGAGCATTGCTTATTCTGTAACAGGTATTATATGTCCCATGTATTTTCTAACCTACTTTTGAAAATTGTTCCAGGTTTATAGTTTCTGTGGCATGGGTGGCTCATATCATTATTTATCTATTAATTGATCCTCCTCTTTCTCCTTTCTTGAATGAAGTTTTCATCAAGCTTGATGATATCTGGGGTATGTTGGAATACTCTTCCCTTTTGTTATCATTCCGTTATCATAAGCTATAGAGTATAGACATCATGTTTTTATTTTCATTCAGTTATTCTTCATGATATATGTATTCTGCTTTCATCAGGTCTTCTGGGTACAGCTGCATTTGCATTTTTCTGCTTCTACCTTCTCCTTGCTGTGATTGCTGGAGCCATGATGCTTGGGCTGAGACTAATTTTCATTACTATACATCCCATGAAGTAATTAAACTTTGCAGTCTATGCATCATTTCACTTTGCTTTTAATTTGTATTGGTCACATACTGCTGCTATTGATCACTCACTATGTAAAATTCTCTATGGCAGATGGGGAGCAACTCTCATGAACTCTTTTCTGTTCAATGTGGGGCTTATCCTTCTATGTTCCATTAGGTTAGTACAGCCTGTATTGATACATTTCCAAATGGTATTATGTGTAAAAGTTTACTTTAAATATGGCTGCCCTATTGATTCAACATTTATGTTTTTATTTCAGACAATGATAAATTTTATAACAATGATTTTTGTCATCTTTGATTACATATAGTAGGAACTAGGAAGAGATAGTTAAAAAATAATGCATAGTTGAAAGTGGTCTTACTTTCAAGGCTTTGATTTTCCTGTTTAAAATTTTAAAAGGAGCAGGGAATTTTTCTTAGTTGTGCAAGTGGTGTTATGAGTGTTTGAGGAAGTTATTTATGGACATGTACCAAGTGATGTTCTATACTTGAGCGAAAAATTGTGCTGCCTTGACAATGTCATACTGTGACAACATTGCTGAAAATTCAGTTGTGTTACCTTTTCAGTGTGATCCAGTTCTGCTCCACAGCATTTGCGTACTATGCTCAAGCAACTGCAGCACAGGAAATATTTGGCCACACCTTGGAGTCTCTTCGTGGAATTAAATATTTGTACAAGTAAGTTATTCTAGATGTTTTTCCCTCACTCTTCTCCAATCCTCTGATTGGGGTGAAGAACATAATCTATCCCTTTTGTTAAATTGCAAATGTTGACTATGTGATGGGATGGTCCCAACTTGCCCCTCCAACCCTTATAAATCACTTTTTCAGTTGAGATTCTCTGCAGAATGATTCTATTTACATTTCACTCACCCAAATTGTGCAAAAAAATAAAATAAAATCTATAGGCCATAACATTGTTCGGATCTAAAACCCAGTAGAGGTGTGTGTGTGTGTTTTCCTGTGTTGTGTGTTTGTGTAGTATCATTAACATCTGCATGCCTACATTAGGGAAGTATTGCATGTATTATTTGGTACTGACATCTTTTATGCCTTACTAATGTAATTAACCCATGCATTTGTCACATCACAGGTACAACGTCTTTCAGATTGCATTTGTGGCATTGGCTGGATTGACTTTTGTATATTATGCTGCCTTTGTAAGTTGACCTCTGAAAAATTTTATTTTCTGTTGTACGTGTTAATGTTCTTGCTGATCCTGAAGGGTTTTGAATTGAAAATATCAGGGATGGAGAAGAAAGAAGCCTAGTGGCAGGTTCGAATTGTCTACATGAGTATAATATGGTTTATAGCATGGAAGAGTGTCTTCTTAAGGGAGCCATCGGGTATTCTTTTCGCAAAATCTCATTTGAAGTGGCTTTTATTCGGATGTGTATCAGCCTAGTTTTGTATTACATGAAAGCTATAGAGTTGCTTGATCAGCATCCGAATAGAATCATTTCCCTGCGGTGTAATCATTAGTGGGTGCTTGTGCTTCCACTTAGGTCTCTGATTATTCTTTCATCACCCTTGTATGTATTATTCCTTGGTTTGATCTGTGCAACACATTCTTCCGATTATGTAATTGAATATATCATGTGCACAAGAGGCTACTCGGTTTCTACTAACCCTTTGATGTATAATGTAACCTTTCCCAAACATCAAGTTGTACCAGTCGACGTTTTTACATCTACATTTCTTTGTGCGGCATATTTCTAATATTAACAGGGCTTTTATGAAAAGGAACTCGTGGCTCTTCCGGAAAACGTAATAATCTGACAGACAGCAATCTACCCATCTCGTAGTAGTTGTGTGGCTACTAGAGTTTTCACATTTGAAATCTCCAAGGCTTAGAATGATGCCTAAGAGAGTACCAAATCTCTGGAGTGAGACATGTCGGAGGGTTTTCTTTTTTGACATCTCCAAGCCCTGGAGATTTACAAACTGACGTTTTCATGGCTTCAGTTGATGATTATAGGATATCATAGCATTGTGTAAATTATGGTTTGATCTATAAGTAATTTTTTAACTATAAAAATGATGTTCAAACACATCTTGTAGGTTAAAATTAATGGTGTTCAATGGATTAGGTTGATTCAGATTTGAATGAAAATTTAATCCGAATCAACTAAATTTAATTGGTATGGATTTCATAATTTTTTTTCTTAATTCAAGTTGAATCAATCTGATGTTGATTGGATTAATTTGATTTGGATTATTAGGTATTTAGTAAATTTTTAATTTTTTTTTTAAAGTAAATAGATTTTTTAAGATTAACTTAATTAATAATATTGTCAAAAATTAACTAAATTAATTTTTTAATCTACTTAAAGATTTCAAATGTATTATAATGTAAAAATGACACTCAATATTCTTTTTTCTTAAATTAAATATTAATTTAATTGATATATTGTCAAAAAATTAACTAAATTAATAAATTTGTAATATAATTTCTCTTGAGTTTTTTTTCTTCTTAATCTACTTAATGATTTCAAATGCAATACAACCTGAAAATGATATTCAATATTTTGGAATATAGTTCTTTTTTTCTTTAAGTATTTGAAAAAAGGAATGAAAAATATATGTATTATAACATAAAATTATCTTTAAAATAATCAAAATGACACATACATATTAATTATTAATTAAATAATAAATATATAATATATAATATATAAATCAATTGATTTGGTTAAGGTTAATTTGGATTTTTGATGCATAAATAAGATATCTAAATCAATCAATATCGAATTTAATTAGTTTGGTTCAGATCGGACCCGAATGAACAAAAAATCTAAATCAATTTAATTGATTTGGTTTGAGTTTATCATATTAACCCAATCTGGTGAACATCCTTAGTTATCGATTTATCTTTTCAAATAGCCACACATATATAACTATCAAAAAGACGAACCAAAATCATAAAACGGTAACACATAATTAGGAATGAGAATATGTTAAACTTTAAACATAGACTTATAGCCTGACCTCATTAAAAACTGATATGACCTGGTCTGTTTAATAAAAAAGTCAAGTTTAGACTTCTAAAAAAAGTATATTTATATAAAAAGATCAAACTTAAACTTATAGAAAAGTCTATTAGATCTAATAGGTCACCTATTTATTTATATAATATAATAATAAAATAATATATATATATATTAATATTAAAATATTTTTTCATACAATTATTTTTTTTCATTATAGGTTTATAAGTTTATGATCTGTGTATGAATTTATATCAATATACATGGTTACACTTCAACAGAAAATATTTATTTTTTCTCTTATATTTCTTTTAATTTTAAATTTTAATGATATTGAGTAAACTATATTTTAAAAATAATTTTGTTGATTTTTAAAAATTAAGTTTATTAACTAAATTAATATTAATAATTTAAATAAATTTTTTAAATAAGTTAATAAACTAAATCAAACTTTAAAAAGGTAAAGGTTCAGCCAAACTTATAAAAAAAAATTATAATAAATAATAAGTCAAGGCTTTAATTTTGCATAATATATATTAAAAGTCTGACCCGAGGCAATCACAATTTCCCAACATTCACTCGCTCAAAATTAGATATAACTCGATCAGTTGCTCAATATGCACTAACAACACCAAATTTCTTTAAGCACAACAAAATTTTTCAAATTCCTGCTACTTTGTGATTCATTCTACAAAATATGGGCATTTCCGTAGCTTGAAAACGCAAAAAAGTCTACTCCAGTTGAGAATTTCCCTGGAAGTTCAAGTTGGAGACATTTATTGGAGTTTTGTTATCCGCACCAATTGGATCATATGATGAATCTTAAGCAAACTCATTTGGCATTGAGTTCCAGTGCAGACTAGGTTCCCAGTCTGCTTCTCTGAGGACCTTCAATATCTCTTTAGCCACTATCTTGCTCCCCTCAGATGATAAATGAATTCCATCCCTATCAAACACCACCCCATCAAATGAACCAAAAGCACTTTTCCTTTAGATATGTAGGCACGTTTTAGTAAATTTCCCAATAAATATTTCTAGAAGAAAATAATAGAAAGGAGAAATGAAATAATAAAATTAATTTATGCATAAACTAGTTTGTAGAAGCTCTTTCCAATTAAATTTTCTAAAATCTTACTTTTAATTTATACATTAGTGTTAACTTATGAAGATTATTTAAATTTCTTCATATTTTTGGTCTTAGGAGTGTTAGATCCGTATATGCATGTAATATTAATAGAGAGCAATTGGCATCTATATATACTTACGTGAAGCAAACATCCAACCAGTCATGTCTTTGCTGCAGTGCAGACCACATATCAATGGCCTTCACATTCATCTCGCGGCACAACTCCAAACACGCTTCCGAGTATACTCGACACGATTCATTAGTCCTTCTTATTTGCCCCAGATGACTGATTTCAGTTAAAACATTATTTCACTAGAGTATAAGATTGAAATGCAGGTTTTAATAGGATCAGATAACAAGAATGTCAAAGTTTTAGGAAGGTGCCTGTGATCCTCTAAATTTATCATGTGCCAGCCTAATGGATACAGGTCTTGTTGGTATGAAGCCAAAGATGCCAGTTTTTACATATCAGACATGCCAGTATTCAAACTTAGTCTCAAGTTTGAATACCGATATAGATATAGCACATAACCTATGAGCTAGGGTACTGGTTTGATTTATAAATAAGTAAATACTAACCCTAGAGTTTATGAAATATTTGAGCCAGTTTGAGGGGGGAGGATATAGTATAAGACTACAGGTAAGTGTAATTATTTAATCATATAGCACACATAAAGTATAGGTGTCATCAAAAAGTAGAAGTGCATCATGCATCAACATCATAGCCTAATGATAATGTGAAATTATGTACAATAACCAAAATAAGTTGTAGTCAGAACCTGAGCGTTTCATGCATTTGTGTCTCATTGATGGGAGGGCAAGTAAGAAATATTATGCGAGTCTTCTTTGAAAGGCTCTGACAACCATTAAGATTTGGGTCAAATTTCATTGTGATAAATATAGAGGTTAAGAATAGTTGAATCAATACCACCAAATAATACTTGGAGTCTTAGAGATATGATAATCCTTTTTTTTTCTTTCTTTTTTCATGTGATGTGTGGAAAAAGTAAGGAATTAATGTGGCATAAAAGTTTACCATAAGATGGGTAGCAATTTTCCTCATATTTTCAATGTATTCTTGGAGGGGTACATGAAGACCATGGCTTGATGGATGTGGATGAGTAGAATCATTACCACCAAAGTACACAATCACCAGTGATGGTTGAATAGTGGCATCCTGAGTTGAACATGACAGTGAAAAGGTGATTGGTTTTAAGTCAGTCTAAGCCTGAATCAGAGTAATCACATGTGCAAAAATGAACCTAAAGATTAATGTATATGTCTGTGTGCATGCTGAAATTGCGACATGCAGTTTATTATAGTACATTTGATGATTTAAATTTCAACAAATGTTCGTATTATATCCATTCTCAGTACTAAGGCAAATTGAGGCCATCATATGCAAGATTGTTCAAGCTAGTCTTTAGCAGTCAATTAGCTAACTGAGGTTCCATTAGTTCGTACTACAAATAAAATGAGTAAATATTAAATTGTAAATACATTAATTCACTTAAAAAGACTTTTAACATACTTATCTAATCACAAATTGTCATATAAGATAAGTTTATTAATTTTTACAATAATTATTTTAAAAGTTATACTAATAATGCTTTTTAATTGATTGACAATATAAATTTTTTTTTACAAAGAAGGTGCATAGAAGTTAAATCCATCGAAATAACCACATTTTAATGATTTTATGATTTGTCAAGAATATGTGAGATTTTGAATTAACACATGCTCAATACCTTGGGAAATATTATATCCAGAACCTGCAGAGCACACCTTGAATTCCAACCAGCATATCCTCGCAAAATTATATCTGCCTATGTCAAAGTCAATGTGTGATAAAAGTTAAACTCATTTACCACTCATAATGCTTCACTCATATATAAAAACACCACTCATAATGCTTCACTCATAAAAAGCAAATACATTTGTAAATTTAATGTGTTTGTTTAGGCTTATATTTCAAAATACTTACACACTTTAGATGCATATGGAGAAGGGGAATTCTTTCCAACAACATGTAACTTGCTTGGATTTCTCAAACTATAGTGAGTTTGAGTTGTTACGTTCTTGATAACATCTATTAATCACTCAAAATAATGCTCAATTTATGCAATATAGTTACAAACAGCATTTTCAAACTTTTTATTTTTCCTTTATTTCACATTCAGTCTCTCTTAAACATTTGGGCAACCTCAATAATATGGAAAACCTTGTCCATTTTTTTAAATTTACAATTGACTAAAATCAAAATTACACTTTTGATATTCTATATAACATCTAATTCATATCTTTTCTTTAACATGGCTTATTGTATAACATTATATATAGAAACCAAAAATACAATTTATTGATGTAATTTTATGAGGGAACTAAAAAGTCTTCGTATGGAATGGGATACTGAAAAGTTAATAGAGGGCTTCCATTGTATTGGAAGATAGCTTGTAACAATATCTAAATATAAAAAAAAAAAAAAAAAAAATTCCTTCGAAATAATCTTTTATTACTTTTAAGAAAACTTCGTGGTATGAAATTGGCTAGATCTTTTTGGCATTACTTTTGCCTACATGTGAGAATGCCGCGTGTACAAAATTCTTGTGCAATTTGTTATAGCATTTATCTTTTTCTGTTTAGTATTTCTTTGGACATTCATTTCTGAGCTTGTATCATATTGAACTATTTGGATATGGAGGAATCTTATCTATGATTCCACTTTTTACCAAAATTGCTGGTCCACTTGTCCTACAGGACCACCACTTCCTCAAAAAGTTCTCAATATGGTGACTTATGGTTTTTTTTAAATATTTTTTTTTAATAATTTCAGTTATTTTACTTTTTATTCTCTATAATTTAAAATTGATTATTTAGTTTCTATATTTATCTTTTTCAATCATTTTTATAGTTTAAGATAGAACTTTTAGTCTATATACTTGCAAATTTTTTTAATCTTTTTAGTTCTGTCATTAATTTTTTTTGTAACTTTGTCTCTTTTGTATTGATTGACAAAAATATTAATTTAACTTTATTTGTCTAATATTGAATTTATTTTGTTAAAATTACTAGATTTCTCGACATTTTGTATCTCTTTTATATCTATACTTACGACACCTATTGTTGAGACACCTTGTTTTTATTCTCATAAAATTGGAGATATTTATCATGTTAACACAAAATAGACAACATTATAAAAAAATGATAGAGACTAAGATTCTAAGAGGCTTACAAAATTATAAGTATATAATTAAACTAAAAAAAAATTTCTTAAATTATAGAAACTAAAAAGGATTGAAAAAGATAAATATAAAAATTAATTTACTTTTTAAATTATAGAAACTAAAAGATAAAATAAATAAAATTATAAAAATTAAAAAGATATTTTAATTTTTTTTTATAGAAAAATATGGTGACTGATGTTGAAATATTCTAAATAACATTTTTCCTCGATAATTGACATCTTACTTATTTTTATTTCTCCACAAGAAAATGACCCGCCATACTTTGCTTATGTTCACATTTTTAGTTTGAATTGCATATGTTCACATTTTTAGTTCGGATTTCTGTAATAATCCTTTAAGTAGACTTTGTAGACTTTTATTCACAGTTCTAACATATCGTTAACACCATGGTTAATAGTATAGAAAGTATCTTAACATTGTATTACATTTTGTATATATAAAAAAATGTTAATGAGATCCAAAATTAAGAAAATGCTTATCATCAACTTATTAATTTTCTCTTCCATCTCATTTCCGACTATTTATTTATTCCTTTCATATATCACATCACCTATTACGTGTTTTACTCCTTTATTTCTTTTCTTTTTCATCCTTTTTCTTTCTAATGTCCTCTCTTCTGTCCACCCAATTCAATCTATTTTGCAATACATGAATATATATCATTACTCTTCTATTAATAACGGTAAATGGGATAATTTTTCTTTCCAAAAGGAACTGTTCCATTGCCTGAAGTCCTGTTCTTGATTAAAAACTAAAACAAATTGTAAAAATATAAAACTGAATAAGGGTCATCCATAGACCACAAAACCCTCGTCTATCTATGAAACATGAATGCATAAACAAAACAAAACAATTCTTCATGGTTATCCAACATGTAAAATCAAAGGATAACAGCTTTTACCCTCTTTCAATCATTCATTAACTGAAGCTACAAATGAAATTGTGCAAATCAAAGTGCATGCAATGAAAGAAAACACAATATTAACTTGAAGTCAAAGAAGATATATGAGAAACCATAAATTAATGGAATGAAAAACATGAATAGCATAACTATATAAGTACCTTGCGAGCATAGAAATTGGCAAGAATAGCTCCCCAACCTTCATTACTATAACTGAATTCAACTATGGACGAACCAAACAACACAAATTGAGGTCTCACTGGTCCTACCATTTCACTTCTTCAATATCAATAATACACCAACACTGTAGCTAGTATTCAAAATTTATAGACGAGGGTTTTGGTTTCTTTCTCCTCTTGCTTTCTCTTGTCAATATCAACTGCCATAATTTTTCAATTTCTTTCTCTTGTCAGTGGGACATCATATTGAAGTGTGTGGACTTTTGATGCCAAGTTTATGGTGTAGATAACGCTATGAAACCCTTTATCTTAATGCCTCCAAATGTTTAGAACTTGACAATGACATAAATCGAATAAAAGAAAACTTAGGGACTGGTATTTCATGTATTTTTATTTTTATTTTCCGACTAGTTTGATAAGTAATCTAATCTGACGTGAATATTTATTGTGTGAGTTGATGGGATAAAATTTAATTTTAATCGAAAAATAATACTAAAATCTTTTATATTTTAGCTTTATAATCTTATCTAAATGAAGATAAATTTATTGACTTTTATATTAATTATCTTAAAAAATATATTAATAATAATTTTTGGTTTAATTAGTTAATAATCTAAAATTATTGTATACCGATAATACATTATTATTAATATTGTCGATTTATAATAGCACGACTTTGTTAATTACATTTAATTTTAGGTCAAAAGATCTTTGTTTCAATGAACTGATTGCAGATATGGGATGTTTGTACACTGCAACTATACTATTGTAAAATAATTTTATATATTTTTTAAATTATTCATCAGAGTTAGAAGTTCCTCTATAATATGTAAATTTTTACATAATATTCTTTATATCTTCATTCATGAATGATCACATTAGATTATTATTTATATCTTCATAAATGAATGATCACATTATAGATAATTATTTTATATCATTATTGATGTGTATCAAGTTTTAATCAATACCTATTAAAATTTATTACTATTTCAGAATTCTTATAATTAGGGATATTACATTGGAAATATATTTTTTGAACTTGATTGATGCTCTTTGTGATGTATATATTGGATAATGACTTCTCTCGTTATTTAATTATGTTTTCAGGGAAAATTATTAGTAAAATTTATAACACTAAAAAATTACTTCTCTTCTCGACTCTTTGTTATTAAAATTTCAACTTGGATAAAATCTGAGTCACTCAACAAACACCACATTTATCAAGTAATTGTGATATTAATTAGTCAAACTTTGAACAAAAGGTGAGGAGAGGGAGATAATACAGCTAAAAGGTAGTTATTTAATTTAAATTTCGTAGTTATGGGAATAGTTTGATATCATATTCATGTTTTTCATTTAAAAATATATATTTTTATGATATTTTGTACCAAGTATTTTCCATTGATAAGAGTGCATTAATAGGAATGTATTGTTCTACCATGACATTTCTACATTGATTGGAATAAAAACAATAATAGAAATAAAATATAATGATATTTTTATAATTAAATATGAAACGTTAACATATTTATATCGATTTTAAGGAAAAATAATCTCCTCGCACCCAAATCCTTTTCAAAGGACATTGCATTCTCTTCTACAAAAATCTCTCGTCCTACTTTTCCTGATATTAGGTTCATGGATCAATTTGTTAGGGAAAGGGAAATTGTTCATACTTTTATGGCTAAGACTGGCCTTGAGTTTGATGGATATGTATGCTAGTTGGGTGTAATTAAGGGGTTCGAACAGGTGTTTGAGGAAATCCCTAAGAGGTATAATGTTTCTTGGAACATCATAATTTCGGGTTATGCCAAATTAATGCATGAGGTTCCAAGAGGTTGTTGATGTTTACCAGAAAATGCGAATGGAGATCGATGAGAAGCCAAAGGAAAGGAAGTCATGGGCAACTTTGGTTAAAGAAATCCCAAGTAGAGATTAAATACATTGACTTTCTGGATCAAGCAAGAACAATTCAAATTATATAATTGGCTAATGCAAAACTAATTTCATTAGTCAGTGTTTGCCTTCTTATTTAGACAAGTCTAGCCAATCCATGTTGACATGAAGGTTTTGAAACCAATTGGGTGAGAATTTAATTAATTTGCTTGGATATATAGGTAAATACATTTTTAGTTGTAGCTATTTGCTAAACTAACCAAAGGCCTTAACTAATTTTCTATTTTATGTCAATCAATTGTAGGTTGTGAATTTGAGAAGTCGCAATGTTCTAGCAAACCAAAATTTGGAGCTCATGGATCTTCATGCATGTTGTTATTATGCAGCTCTTCTTATTTGTAGGACATTCTTTTTGGCCACATATAATTTAATAAGCATGTGGACACTACGGAACCATTTTTTAAAAAATATTTTCTCTTTTTTAAAGATAACTGTTAACATTTTTTTCAAAATAAAGGCTCATATAGTATTGTTTAGTAGAACACTATGTTAACTTGAAATTATAATTAACTTATTTTTCTTATGATTTTTAATTTGTCAATAGTTTTGGTAATATTTTAATTTGTTATTTAATGTATTATGTAACATAATAAATAAACATTTAATTGTACGAATTAAATCCCTATTCAATTATGATAATTATTCAACCATAAGATATACTTTATTCCAACAAAACGATTTTGCGAATCCAACTCAATTTTAAAAAGATGAAACATAAGATAGATATTTGCATCTTTCCATTTCTTTTATTCGTTTATTATTTTAATTTTACGTGAAAGAAGTCATTCCAAATAATTAGTTTGTATATTCATGATTTTTTTTAAAGAATTTTTTATAGAATGAGATGACACTCCAAATAGGACGTTAATAACTTCTTGGGACTATCAATAAAGACTCATCTAGAGAATTATTATACGAATTACAAACAATTTCACCTAATTACAATTACTCAATTAATTCCTGAGTGTTAAGGGATTTTCCTAAGAAGAGTTTCCTACCAAACAAGAAAAGTGATGTTAAAGAGATTAAACCCATCCGACATATTTACATACGAAGGTCCCAAAAAAAAACTTGTAATGAAATGTTCAAATATGAATTAGTAAGGAAAAATATAAAAGCTGCAATCTGGCAAAGAAAAAGACATTAACAAAGCTACACCATTCAAATTATGTATTAATTTCTTTTCCATTAAATCAATAAATTATGTAAGGAAAGCACAATGCAAATGCCATTTCCATTGGCCAAGCTTGAAGAATAGTTAATGTTTAGATTAATGACGATCACCTAAATATTCTACTCTCTTTTTCCTCTCCTTACGATCCTTGATGTTTTTCTTTAGCCTCGCCCAACTTTTCTTGCATGCACCAACAGCCTTCTTCCCATGTTTGATTATGGCCTTCTGGGCTTTCTTTGCTACAATCTTGGCTTTCTTTGTTGCCACCTTTACTTTGTCTTCAAAATCTGCCATATTGAATTCTCAAATAGAATTCAATTGCAGCTTGTAAAGACAAGCAAATTTTGGCCTTAGTAGTGTCAATATAATTTTTTTTAGTGTATTTATATATGTGACACAATGCATATATCTTGTCCCAACCTAGAATGACTCTTTCTTGACCTTGTTTTCGTATGCCATATATAGAAGGTTAGCCTTAAATAGTGTTAACCTAAACGCCTCTCATTCCACCATTATCATTGTAATGTTAAAGTGTCATTACCTAATTAGTAAATTAAAATTCAAAGTCCCCTAATTAACAATTAATTAACGTCATTCTGTCTTATGTGTAACTTTAGGTCATGTTGCGCTTGAAACTATTTGGTTTTGACCATTGTACTAATATGGGTAAATACTACCGCACAAATAAGTGGTTGTATGTTGTTAAGGTTACATATGTTGTTAAGGTTACAGATACAATTAAATTTGTTTGAGGATTAATGTGATTTTGAAATATGTTTCATGGTGTAAAGTTTTAAAGCTTTTTTACTACTAGATTCTAAATGATATTAGAAACTTGAAATCAAAATTTAGAGTTTTGGTAAGTCGACAATGTTTAATTTTAGATCAATGACATACATATTTGAATCAAAAATCTTAATTTAATATTTTGATTAAAATCTTGATTTGCAAACAAGAATATAAATTAAATTTATTTTATTTTATTATTGAGTAATGCATATTATTGTAAATTATAAATTTGACTTTATTATTTTGAACAAATTTGTATAAATACTTGTGCAAAAATCATTGATTTAATTTAATCTTAATGTAGATAAAATTTGAATGTCAATTGATTAAATTGACAAAAGATAATCGATAATTTGTCCATAATTGCAAAGTTATGAGAAATCAATTGTACAAATAAAAAACTATGACTCAATAAGAATTCATTTTAAAATAATTTAAATTAGGAAATACAAATAGAGACTATAATTTCTAAATGCAAATGAACATCAAAGGAAAAATGCATAAATTTAAATGAAACTCCGTATACATAATAATAATAATAATAATAATAATAATAATAATAATAATAAATTGAATAACATAATCTTAATAAATAAAACTAAAACGTGTTTAGGTGGAAAATATTACATTCTTAAATTAAACAAATTAACATAATCAAACTAAAATTACAAGGAAATAAAACTTATGTCTTCAAAATAAATCAACAGAAGAAATATCATAATTAAGTTTAATTATGTTTCGATGTCACATCCCATCAGAACACAACTCATCATTGAGTACTAAGTTTCATCACCAATATTTTTAACCTCATGTTGATGATCACCTGCATTACAAACAAAGGAAAACAACAAAAAGCAAAAGGAGTGAGAAACATTTCATTCTACCTCATGGTGTAAGAATGCAACTGGATAGCAAAATACAAACAAAGCATACATATATACATAGTATAGGCAGATTGGTATCAATAACACACTTCACTCATTCATGTCATAATAATTAAATAACATATAACATTAAGATACATATACAATGGATACAAACTACATATTATCATGCATGTAACACTAATAAAAACATCACATGATATATTGTCACTAGCAACTCACAAAGTAGTCTTGGATTACATGACAAGTCACACATTCAATGCACTCTCACTAGAAGCACATACTATCAAGGTCTAGTTGAGATATCTAAGTCACATAAGATACATCTCATGCACACAATATGCCAAACTAGGACTTCCAAACCAATTTATTCCCAAGGATTGATCCCTAAACTTTTACACAATGGAATCTTCGTTGACGGTGTATTCCATATCGTACCCCTTTAAAATTA